AAAGGGAAAAACGGTATCGCAAGCTCAAACTTGACTGAAACGCAAAATAAAAGCAGCGTTGCAAATAAATTAGTAGATATGGCCATGGAAAATATGTATTGCAAAATCATTGCTTTTGTGCCGTTTCATTTATATTTTGCAATTCTTTATTTTCGTTTGCAAAAAGCACATTTATTTTTTCTCAATACTTTCATTTTCATAAAGAAATTACTATTATTTTGTATATATATATATATATATATATATATATATATATATATATATATATATATACATACATACATACATACATACATACATACATATAAATTAATTAATTAATATATATATGTACATACATAAATTAATATAATCCAATTCTGGTGTTATAATACCCTGCTTATTATTTACAGCTACTTTGGTATGTGATGTTAATTTTACGGGTAAATTATTTCATTTAAATGTTTGAATTATTTATACTGTATGTTGGATATGGTTGGAGAAGAAAATGCTGGCATAAAGTAACAAAATTCCCTGAATCTCTGACACCAGTGATGACGCTTTCCCACTAGATGGCAGACGAGGACAAGTTTCAAAAGGTTTCTGGTGGACTATTTTGACTTTTTTTTTCTTAAACAGTTGGTTAGGATTTTTCTTCTTCTTTTCAACTGATTTGTTTGTTTGGGTGGGGAAATGATCTACCTCACACCGAATCGTGTGCCACAATAAAGCATGTCTCGTGCTGCATTCTTGAAAGCACAAATGGTTGTTTAGCACCATAAAGGTTGTGTTCTGATCCTCCTAGCTCGCATGAGATTTAAGAGGAATTCGCCGTGTGGGAGGATGCTGAAGCAGAATTCTATCACCATAGCTATTTTTTTTTTCTGTCTCTTTCTATTCCACCCCTTGAGGTGGAGCAATAACGTTTGCCATTGTTGTCATTCTGTGAGCTCAGACTTCCTGGCATCCACACTAAATTACCCAGGGCTTTCTGTGGGAGCAGAAATGGCTCACTGTTCCCCAACAAAAAG